CGGGCCTGGACTCCCTTAGCAACGTCTCCCTGTCTTCCTCCATGACGGGCCTCAACACCGTCTCTCCCGTCATGTCCCAGACCTCCATGAAACAGTTCCACGGGGTGCCTCCCTGCACGTACACCATGCCCGGCCAGTTTCTGCAGCAGCCAGCCACCTACTTCCCCCCTTCCCCCCCAAGCTCGGAACCTGGCAGCCCTGACCGGCAGGTGGAAATGATGCAGAATTTAACCCCGCCACCATCTTACGCTGCCACCATCGCTTCCAAGTTGGCCATCCACAACCCGACCTTGAACGCGAGCATCCCCATGAATTCGCCGAGCATCCCAACCGTCAGATATAATCGGAGGAGTAACCCCGACTTGGAGAAGAGGCGGATTCATTACTGTGACTACCCTGGTAAGCTTGAGGGAAGTGGAGAGGTGGAAGTCTCTGAGAAACAGGCCAGTTCGTCGCCAGCGTCTTTCCAGAAAACCCTCCCAAATGTTTTCTTTTGTGTAATGTGCCGGCCAATCTGCTCGAATGGAGCATGTTTGCTTCTTATTTTGAAAGAAGAAAACATTTAATAAAATAAACGCACCTTAAGCATATGCAAGGTTTGAACATAAACGTAAGCCAATGTCACATGACAGCATTTCCACATCTCAGACCTGAACATTCCCGTGAGTTTGTTGGCTCAGAATGATGGGAAATGTAGTTCCATCACCAGGATAGGGAAGACTGGCAGTCATAGCTACTTGAAGAAAAGTGCGTTCACCGTTTTCTTCATGATTTGGCTGCGTTTCTGCTCCTTGATGTGCATTTTACGCAGTTTAACTAGAACTAGAAGATTCAACTAGGTTGAAATAAAGGGTGTATGTCTTCCCAAATAGATAACAGATTCTATTATGTGTTAATAACTGATTTTTGCTGTCAGACGCATAGCTTATAAGAGGATAAAATATGAGATGCATAATTATAAGATTCTTGATCAATTAATTCAGCTTGCATGTTTAGGACGGTAAGTATATTGACCTGAAAATTTAGGTGCGGTTGATTGTGATTTCTGTGTATTGCTAGCAGTTCTCTTTTTGCTCTGGGCAAAAGCGAGAAATTGGAATACATTTCTTAAATATATTAGGGCCACCCATTAAAACTACTAGCAGCATTGCAGTTTTATGGGGAGCGTTACCACTTTCCAGACATAAACGCACGTGATACTTAATGTCTCTTTTCTGATTTTCTATCTTAGGTTGCACTAAAGTGTACACGAAATCGTCCCACTTAAAAGCACACCTGCGAACTCACACTGGTATGTGATTTTATTTTTTATTTTGCTGGTTACGATTTTTTCTATAAATATAAGCTAGCCATCCTGTTTTTTTTTCCCTCTCTGCTTTGCTTGAAAAGATTTAACATGATGTGCTTGAAATGGAGAGTTATAAATCAGCCACACGGAGTTATTAAAATGAAGAAGGACACTTTTAAGCTTTGGAAAATAATGGGTGAATTTGAACCGTATATAAATACCCTCTTTGAAGCTCTATTACTTTCCATTCACCCTGCCCCCCCCCCACCAAGTCCTTTCCAGCTAAATTATGCTGTCACTTAATGCATGGATCAAATCTCTGTGCATCAAACTTTGGTTTAACTCCCATGAAAACCATGACTGCGACACATGCTTAGGGTTGTGCTGCAAATCTCAAAGCCCCTTACTCATTTCCTAAAAATATATTTTAAAAAAAGTCGATTTCCTGCCCAGCAGCCTGCCTACTGCCTTCTGCTCGGCGATGAAGGCCCACATCACATTCAATAAATGATAAACATTCATTTTAAGTTCCGTTCCATGATAAACTTGACTTTTCTTTTCTCAAGTTGACCGACTATGTTTAGCCTGTGATAAACTTGATAAGTCTGTTGTGAGATTGCATGGATTGTTGGAACAGGTATCGTTGGCTGGCTCCAAACACGATTTGGAAGCTTAGCTTTCTCACGAGAGACATTTGCTTTGGTGGAGGTGGAAGAATAAGTTGAAGCCACACTGCGTGGCCAGTTGATTCTGCACACCTAGGTTTTTCAGGGACTATTGAATCAGTCCCTAGGATAAAACACTTTTTTCAAACTAGACTGCCATTAGGTGGTGTTTTGACGGCCGTTTCTTTGCATGGGAAAACAAACCCGATTCGGTCTCTGAAATATAAAGTCAGATCAACCAGGAGAAGAGGCTCTGACGGATAATGACTCAGCACAGATTCCTAAAATCATCTAAAAAGGCTTTAAAAATGTTTGAGTGACAACCCCGAAACTTAACTTTGTTTCGGCGGCGAAGCAATGTTGGAGTTGTCAGCTCGGTTGCGGCAGTTTATAATAATGCTGGGTTTGCAGCTGAAATGGCTGCCTTCTTCACCCTCCTTGTTAAGAGCTGGATCTGGGTTTTTAATTGGGGGAAAAAGATCTGAGTTTGGCTTCATCCATGAAACAAGGGCCCATATTCAGCGTTCGCTCATTGTGGAATGATTGAAATATCTCCAGGCAGAGAGTTACTATGGAAATGAAGTTTTGATAAACGAAGCCCGCCCCCCCCTCCGTTCTCTCTCAAAGGAACCAAAGCACAGAGAAAAGGTTAAAAGCAACAGTTCATAAAAACAAGTTTTCCAAACGGTTGGAAAAGGTTTGCCATGCCTCGATTTCATCCTGGGATGAGGAGTTTTGTTTGCCTACATTTTATTTCTCTTTGCTGGGTAGTTTTCGGGGCTTGCTGTTGAAAAAAATTGGGATTATTCTTCCTTGGGTGAAGATTCCTGGTGGGCCTAGCCTTGTGGTGACACCCGGGGCAACATAAAGTGGTCTCATTGTTTGGCACGATCTTACTTACCTGGGCTTCACGTGGCCTGCAGAGGAGGCCGGTTTGAGTTTGATAAACCATGGTTTATTTATTTGTAAAGTGTATTGGCCACCATAGGGTAACTCATACAATCTTAGGGTTAAAAATACCTCATCTGTCACTGCTTACACTGGTGATCCCAGATCCCTGGAGGATATTGGCCAGAAGTCATTGATCGGTGTCATTCACTCTTGTCTCATATGAGTTGTCCAAGAAGGTTGTGTCTCTTTTGGTTATGCCCAAACAAACAACTTCCGTCATTATGTCAGGAAGACTGAGAACAAAAATGGAAGAGCCGAAAAGTACTCTGGCTTCTGTTTAACCTCCCTTGTGCAAGGAGCTGCTGTACCTGGGCT